TTCGGCTTGGGGAATGGGTGATTCCATCGGTCGAAATCAGCTTGCCACACCATTCTGCCTCGCGCAGAAAGAAATGACACTTCTTCGGGCTCAACTTGAGTCCGAACTGAGCACAGATGGACAGGACTTGGTCCAACAAGTCGAGCCAGCTCGTCTGTCGCCTTGGCGGACCCCATCAAGTCATCGAGCCAGGCCAACAGGCCTCGAAACAGCAGCTCACCAAACATTTGGTGGAGAACCGACTGGCAGTACGCGACAGCGTCCGTCTGTCCCATGAGCACGCGGGTCGGGGTGTACACGCCGAAGGGCGTCATGAACGAGAAATACATCTGGCTGTCCGCATGTAGAGGCAACTGCCAGTATCCCTTGGTCCAGTCCAACATGAAGTACACGTTCGTTCCGACCAGACAGACCATCGCGCTGTCCAGGTTTGGCATCGGCCAAGGCATCGGCTCCGTGCAGGCGTTGATCGGCCTGCTGTCGATCGTCATGCGCAAGTCGTCGACTTCCTTCTTCGGCACGATCCTTGGGGCTGCGGCCCACATAGCCCGGTTGTTTTGGTATACCATACCGTTCGCTTCCAGGGCAGCTACATGGCTGCGCATGTACTCCACATGCAGCGGCGGGTACCGCCGCATCCCACACTTCACCGGCGTCGAGCCGGGTTTGATCCAAACCTTCAATGGCTCGACCTTGACCGGCAGATCGTCGCCCAAGTCTTCACGGAACACATCAATGTGTTTGGCCAATACGTCGTGCAGCCGCGTCGCTTCAGCGGCTGCCTTGGTCGTCAGAATGGCTTGAACGGCGCCATGCTTCGTGCGGCGGCGCTACGCTTCGTCCTCGGCGGAGGTTTTGGGATAAACCTCCGGAGTAGCACACTCCATCCTGTCGTCGGGGTCAAGCTCCGGCGGATTCAACTTCTCCGCCATCAGGCGCTTGACATTCGCCATGCCGGACAGTTCATTCGTCGGCACGGACGAAACGTCCCATTCTTCCTTCTTCTTCCTTGCTCCGACAAGGAGGTCTTCAACGCTGAAGCCCAGTAACTCCATGACTGGGCGACTCACGATGAGTTCGGTTGCAGTCGACGCGTCGTC